GGCTTTTAACAGTGGTAGCAGATGAATGCAGTCATCGAGTTCTTCTTAGGGCCCCAGGAATCAGACTTATTTTTTATTTTAAGACAGGGTCTTGCTAAGTCAACAGCCCAGGCTGGGCTCAGATTGGCAACCCTCCTGTCTCAGCTTCCTATAGTTCAGGGATTATAGACATGCACCACCACACCGGGCCAACATTTAATTTTTAATGTGTTAAGAATGAGTAGTGTTAAAAAAAATGAGTAATGTTTTTTAAAAACTCAACAAAACAGGATGCTTCAAAAATCATTAGAAAACATTAACGTGAACATACACACGTCAACATGAAAATATTCTGCTGCAACTTAGCATAAAAGTATTTAAGAATGATAACATAAAGATCACACTAAAATGAAAAAAAAATTCGTAGGACATTAAACAAGGAGTAACATTATTTGCTCTTTTTGTTTGCTTTAAAGAGGGAGCTCACATACACACAGTGGTCATAGTGTTCCCCCTGAGCCACGGAAATGTTTCTGAGCACATTTTTCCAGCCTGTAAACTCTGTCTCTGGCTCCGTGACATCAGCCCAGAGATTAGAAGTAAAATCCAAAAACTTTCCACTGCTGTCTCCGGCTCCAAGCAGGCTTCTCCCTCTGATAGCTTGGAGGAGTCCTGTGGGTCTGCTCCTGGCGACTGTCTCAGGGAAGCTTCCCGTTTGTTTTTTGTTTGTTTGTATGTTTTTTTGAGCCAGGATCTCGCTATGTAGTACAGGCTGGCCTTGAATTCACTCTGTAACCCAGGCTGGCCCCAAACTCGAGGCGATCCTCCTGCCTCAGCCTCCCAAGTACTGGTGTTACAGGTATGCACCATCACGCCTAGCTTCCCCATTTGTCTTTGTCCCTGTGGATCAGCACCACAGTTCCCAGAAAGTCCTGGCAAGGAGGACCAGTCACTGTCTGCACAAGCTTCGCCCCTGGATTGCTGCCTTCTTTTTTTGTCTTTGGGAAAAGATGTGGAGTGGTGTGATCATGCAGTATAGACACTGCGGGAGGCCCCACTTGCTGTGTGATAAAGGGCAAAGTGACCTCACCTCCCTGTGCCTCAGTTTCCTCATCTGTAAGAGAGAATAATAATGATACCAGCTAGGTGTGGTGGCACTCCTACCACTCAGGAGGCTGAGGCAGGAGAATGGCCATGAGTTCGAGGCCAGCCTGGGCTACATAGTGAGTTCAAGGCCAGCCTGAACTACGTAGTGAGACCCTGTCTCAACAAACCCAAATAACAATAATGATGATGATAATACTTTTCTCTGGAAGTGTCTCAAGGATTAAATGAGTTAATGTGCAAAACCCTTACACAGCCCTGGCACAGACCAAGCCCTGGGTGAGCACTGTGTATTATTGCTGTCCTTAGGAAAACATTCTAATTACATACAGCACTTATCAATTACAGTTGGTAAGGCAGGCTGACAGCGTGGCTCAGTGGTATGGCATGGGCTTAGCATGCCCGAGGCCCTGGTTTAATCCCAAGCAGTAAAAGAAAAAAATAATTTTGAATGGAGTGGGTACGTTTCAAAATAAGTGAATTCAACTTCACATGAAAACAATAGCAACACCAACAAAGGTGCCAGCATTTTAGTACTCTAGAAGTGTTAAAGGGGAAACTACAACAGACTTCTTTTTTTTTGAGACAGGGTCTCACTATGCATTCCAGGCTGGCCTTTAACTCACTAGGTAGCCCAGGCCAGCAACACCCCCAACACACACACACACACACACACACACACACAAATCCATCAACAGAAATAATAACCCTGGACTGATTGTAGTACGTCGTTCAGACCCACCCCAGTTTTTTCTTCCTGCGGGGTTTGTGGGACTAATCTCATCCATTCGTTTAGCCTGTGCCTTCCGGGCACATGTGGAAGGTCAGGCTCTGCTCCGGGCCCTGGTCATCCTCGGTGCCCCAGCTGCGGAGGGTGAGGGGAGCGTGGGTGGCAGCCCATGAGGCACCCCTGCTCTCTGGCGTGCTGCGCCTGGGTGAATCTCAAGTCTGAGCTGAGCGTTTCTCCCTGCCCCTTCCCAGGCTGTGTCACAGCTGGAGCTGACCCTCCAGGCATCCAAGCCAAATGGAACCCACCCTCAAGAGGTGCTTCTGGTCCTTGTCACGAACACAAACGTCTTTCTGCAGCTCCAGGCCCCAGGAATCCCGCTCCGCCTAGCCTACGTGAGTGTCGCCCCCAGCCCCGACGGAGGCCCTGGCCGACCACAGAGGCCCTGTCGTCAGTTGTCTCCGTGGGCCAGTGTCTCCCACCCCGGCGGCCAGCCTGCTTTTCATTCTGACATTCGTCACCAAGGCCCTGCCTGGTGAACACCTGTGCCCTGACAAATCAAACCCAGGGGACAGCACCACCAAGAGGCACATCGGGCTGATGAGCAAGCAGGCTGGCCCTGAGCCTTCACAAGCCGCAGTTTGCCTTGTTCATTGCCTGTGAACAAGTTCTAAGACATCTATTTGAAAATACTTAAGTACAAAGGGAGAAGGACGGAGGAATCTTTCTGCTTTTTGCTTTTGAGACAGGGTCTCACTATGCAGTTCAGGCTGGCCCTGAACTCTTGGCAATCCTCCTGCCTCGGCCTCCCGAGTGCTGGGATAAGTGTGTGCCACCACACGCCTGGCCAGGAGGAATCTTAACGGTGTGTTAACAGTGGTTAGGGCTGCAAAGTGGGATTTGCAGGAATATTTAGCTTGCTCTTTACACTTTGCCTAGTTGTTGTAATTGACATGACCCACATTAGAGACACATTGTTCTTAAAACCCTCAAGCCTGTTAGGTACACGGATCAGAGAGGAGGCCTGTGGGATTTGTCCCTTGGCAGGGGGCTCAGGGGTGGAGGAGGTTGGTGGCCTGTTCCCTTGCCTCCTCCAGGGGAAGGAAGGTGCCTGAGGGGTGCATCGGGAGCAGCTGCCTTTTATGGGGTGGGTAATGGAGAGGGTGGGCCTGCCGAGGGAGGGAGAGATGACAGGAGCAGGGCAGGGACAGAGTGGGGGTGAAGGGGAGGTGAAGATCTGGATGGGGGTGCGGCAGGGTACCGGACCCAAGTGGGCCATCCCTTGCCCCCAGAAGGGGAAATCGAGGCCCCAGGGAGAACGGGCCCTTGTGTGACCCCCCTACACACACACCCATGGAAGTGTGAGCCGTAAGTCCAGAATGACCCGCAGGTCGCTGCAGCTGCAGGCTTGGGGCTGGGCCAGAGGTAACAGAGGCGGAAGCATCTCATGGGCCTCGGTGTCAGACCCCGTGCCCGGAGCCTGGCAGTGTCGTGTCCTTCAGTCCCCGCTCAGCCCCACATTACTGATGCCCCCTGCCCCCACTTTTTTAAACCACCAAGAGGCCCGGGCTCCTCCCCGAGGACGGTCCCCCCTAGTGCGCTCTGTTCCAGGGGACCGTGCGTGGTGTCTCACTACTGTCACCGTCGGGCAGTCCTCCTTCATAGCCAGCCTGAAGTCCTGCTGCGGCTACCGCCGCCACCGGGGCAACTCAGGGCCACAGCTTTGGTGACGGAGCCAAGCAACCTTGAGTCACCGGCCCGAAGGCTTCCTTAGGCTCCTTTCCTCCACCACAGCACCTCCCCCAGGAAGCCTGCCTTGATTCCTTTCTGGCCTGGCAGCCTCTCCTGAGGCAGGGCAGGGATGTCGGGTCCTGGGCCACCCAGACCCCCATCCGCATGCAGCCAGGGGCCCTGTCTTTCTCTGTTCTCCCTACCGAACACCCTCTGCCCTCTGCTGCATCAGAGGACTTGGGCATGGCTGATTTCAAAATGCTGAGATCTCCAGGGAAGCGGCCAACCTGTCATTCACACATTCGCCAATCTCTTTTCTCTCTCTTTCTTCCTGTCCCTGCCTGGGCAGCAGCCCCCCCAACACCTGCGCCATGTATCAAGGTAAAGCTGTTAGTCCCTCAGATTCCCAGGGTCCAAAGAGGGAGACAGCAGCCATATGGTGTCACTAACATGGGCCGAGTGAATACAACCATGCCAGTGTGACACTGGGACAGGCAGTTGGACAAGGACGTGGCCCTTACAGCCTCCGTGTGAGGAGGGAGATGCTGCGGACCGGCGCTGGCAGATGTGGCTTTCCGGGCCCCTGCACGGGACAGAGGGAATTCAGCCGGGAGCAGCACCCTGAGCCCCCCTGTCTCCCTAGAATGCCAGCCTGGTCATCTTTCAAGAGCCCCCAAAAGTCAACGTCACTCAGCTGCCACCGTTTACTACCAAGACCAAGATCCTTGACTGGGCCGCGACCAAGGGCCCCATCGCCTCAGTGGCCTCACTGGACGACCCCGGCAACATCCTCCTCCGCCTGGGCCAAGGTTGGCTTCCCCACTGGCGTCTCCCTGGCTCCTCTGACCCGGGCCTCAGACTTGGGCACTAAGGGCCGCAGTGGAGTGTGATTTGCCCTGTCATCATGTCACACATGCCTTTTTAGCACTGTGATTACTCTTTTCCCGAACAGCAGCCGGACCTTGTGAAATGCCCTGTGTCTTATTTAACAAACCTCACCACTTTGCTATTTATTGTGCAACTACTATGTGCCAAGCGCTATGCAAGGCGCTGGAGATTCTGTGGGGGCTGACTCAGGCCCTGTCTTCCTGGAGCTGACACGGGGATGCACGCGGCTCAGTGCTGTCATTTAAGGTCTTGGCGTGTGTGTAAGAGATTAGGAAGGAAGCTTCTGGGTGGTGGCCGGTTGCACCCCAGCACGTGCGGTACAGGCTCATCCCTTACATTAACCCTGTGTTGGCCCACGAGGACACAGGCACAGGACTGTCCTCCACGCCCGTCTCAGTGTGACAGCCTACGTGCCCCCAGGGCTGCCTCGGTCTGCGGGTGAGGCTAGGGCTCTGTGTGCGTGTCAGGCTGCTCGGGGAGGGCACTGAGGTGCGTTTGTCTCCGCAGCCGCGAAGTCCCCGTCCTTCTGCCTGCCAGAAGCCCCGCACGACATGGGCCGCACGCTTGAATGGCGGCCGCAGGCCCCCGCCTCGGTCCGGGGCTGCCGCTTGGAAGGCGTGGCCGGCCACAAAGAGGCGCACATCCTGCGGGTCCAGCCGGGGCCCAGCGACGAGTAAGGGTGCCCGCCCCGCCCCGGGCCCGCCCCCGCCCAGGCCCCGCCCCTTCCCTTTACATCCTGGTCCCCGGCCCCACCCACTCGTGCCGCGCCCCCGAATGGGACCCTTGGGGTGGGCCCACTCCCCTCCGGTAGACTACAGGCCAGGTGCGAGCACAGCCGCTGCCCCCCCTGTGCTAGGCCGCGTCGCCCGCCCTGCCCGTCCCCCTCGGGTCTGTCCAAGCCCGCGTTCCCGCCCGCGCTGACCCGGCCACCTGTCGCATCACAGGCCCCGGACGGTGACCCTGAAGGTGGAGCTGAGCTGCGCGGCCGGGGCCCCCGATGCCGTGCTCATTCTGCAGGCTGCACCCTACGTGTCCTGGGTCATCGATGCCAACCACAACGTGCAGGTCTGGGTGAGTGTGGCACCGACTGACCGACAGCCCAAACCCCCAGCCTCCTCCAGCAGGCCGCCTGCCCGCTCCTGCACCCGTGACCTGAGGCTTCAGGCCCCATGGTCCTCTGTGCGCAGCGTTCTCTGTCCACCACCTGTCCTTCCTCCAGACCTTCAGCTGCGGCCACCTCCTCCAGGGAGGCCTCCCTGATCCAGCAGGGAGCCCCCAGACCCAGCCTGTGGGTCAAGGCCGGCTCTGGGAGAGGTGACTCCTGCGCAGAGTGGAAGGACAACCAGGAGCCCGGAGAGGAGGGGAAGGTGGGCGGGTGGGGGATGCTCTGAGACCCCTGCTCTGTCCCGGCCTTAGACCACCGGCGGATACTCCTTCAAGATCTTCCCCGAGAAGCACATCCCGGGCTCTGCGCTCCCAGAGACCCTGCCAGGCCTACTGGGAAAGGCCCGCATGCTCAATGCCAGCGTGGTGGCCTCCTTCGCGGAGCTCCCTCCGGCCCGCGACATCTCCCTGCGGGCCAGCTGCGGTGAGTCCCAGCCCTTCCCTGCCGGCCCCCACGCCACCCTGCGCTTGGCACCCCATCCTGGGAGCTCGGGCCAGCGACACCAGCCAGCCGGAGCCTCACTGCCCTGTGTGCCACGGGAGCAGTGAGCAGCCAGCACCCCAGAGCACGGTGCCCCAGCACCGCAGACACTCAGTGACTGTCCCACAGGCGGTGGGCTACCGACCTCGCCTGCGCCCGTCCCCACCACCCCACCCAAGGAGAGCTGCAGCCCGCACCTGCTCCTGTCCATGGTCCAGCCCACCTGCGCCAACGGCGTCATGACACTGGTCCTCAATAAAGACCACGTGAAGGTGAGAGAATGCTCCTCTGCCTGTGCCCGGGGGACAGCGGCTCCCTCCACGGCTCGGGAATATTGGGTCCTAACCGGGGCAGGGGGTCAGGTCACGTCCCACCACAAGCCTCCAGTTCCCCAGTTGTCCCAGCGCAGCTGATGCTGGTGCCTCCCACACCATCATCATGGTGAGAATTACGTGAGGTCCGACAGGCGGAGCACATGGCAGGGTCAGAAGTGGTACATCCTCAGCACTCACTAACAGCGCCAGCTCTGCGCAGCCGCTGTTGATCCCAAATGCTGGTTGGGTTGGTGTTAGCTTAACAGGGTATATGTGCAAGTGGTCTCTGCCTAATTGACAAGTGAATATATTTATTATAAAAAATACATGCTTTTAAAAATATGCAAGAATTTAAAAAAAATTTTTTTGTTTTGTTTTGTTTGGTTTGGTTTGGGTTTTTTGAGACAGGATATTACTATGCAGTTCGGGCTGGCCTTGAGCTCACTTTGTAGCCCAGGCTGGTCTTGAACTCACAACGATCCTCCTGCCTCAGCCTCCCGAGTGCTGGGATTACAGACACGGGCCACCACAGCCGGTCCAAGAAGAAAATCTTGAGCTTGAAGGTGTAGTTCCAGGACCTGCGAGGCTGAGGCAGGAGGATCACTGCGACTTTGAGGCCAGCCTGGACTACACAGTGAGTTCAAGGCAAGGCTGGACTACATAGTGAGACTGTCAAAAACACACAACAAAGTGGAGAAAGAAAAAGAAAATCTTAATCTCCTCACTGAAACACAGTGGCTGCCAAGATTTTTTTAAATTCATGTATTAAATAAATTCAATAAACAGATACACCTGATCTCAGCCAAAAGGCTGAGAAGCGACAATAAACAGTAAACAATGATGTAAGTAACAGGCAGATGCAGACATTGTGAGGATTTTAGATTTTTTAAAAAGTAAATTCTTGTTAATTAAGAAAATACTGTTACTATTCCAAAGTACAGAATTGCACTTCAACAAAACAGTTTAATAAAATAAGGCACAGTGTTTCACAAGGTGCAGTTTACACAGGTTAGTTAATACGGTTAAGATTACATTACTCTGTTCTGTCCTGGGGGTGAAGATGTACTAGAATTGAAGTAGCTTAAGTATTCTTTTCAGAGCATTTATCACTATAAGGGAATATATAATTTGATACATAAACTATATGCAAAATAAAATTTAACAGTTGAATCATTTCACTGAATTATTCACTTTTACCATTAACTTTTTTTTTTTT